GACTCCGTAAATTCTCATAGACCCGTTTCGACATTCTAAAACTGCTAGAATCGACGAAAATCCGATTCGAGTCTCGAAACTCCAAATGACTCGAAATAGCACTTTTAACCAAACTTTAACTCTTAAAAACTCAACTTTCCAAAAACTCAACTTTTCATCAATTTTCCTTCAAACCAACTTCGAAAGTACATTAATTAGGACTCGGGGCAACTATCGGGAGGGGTAAAACAGTCATTTTATGAAAATTTCCAAAAATGACCTTTAGGGTCATTACAAAGAAACAAGTGTCAAATATGTAATTATAAGTATAGGGATTTGCGAAATCCTTGTGATCTTTAATTCTGCTAGAAGTAGCATTAAATGCAATCTCTACATATAAACTGTTACAAATATTAATTATTAATCTGAAAGTTTTGCATAATTAATGAAGTAATACATTATTTCAAAATTGAACATTGTACTACTCTAGTTCATTTTGCTTGTCATATTTTAATTTTACCAATTGAAAAAAGGTTACTTTACTAAATTATTATTATATAATCTTGATGTATTTATCTCTCTATTAATTATTCAAAATATCAAAAAAAAATTGCAGTTGAGAGGTTTCAGTGCTTAGCTTTGCACTGCAACAAGTTAGGGTTCAACTAATTGTTATTATGATTTCGCAACTTCAACATGTTGCAAATTGTTATTCTAGTTTTGCAACTTCAACATGTTGAAATTACTAAATTAATGATTGTATTTTCTTGAAACAAACAACAGAAAGATGACCGTGAAAATTTACCTGAAATATCAACTTTAATGTCATTGCGAATTTCATGGCAACATCAAACAATTCACAGCTTCCACCAATTCTACCTCAATAAATCACATGGAAGTTGAAAAATCTTAATTAAACCAATTCAAAGCAGAAATTCCAAACATATAAAGTTTTATCTTCCCTTTTTTCTGTTGAAAAATTGCTAATTGAAAAAAATATAGCACATTTTAAACTTTTGCCCTTTCTTTCTATAGTTGATCACAAAGGAGTTTCATTAATTTAAATGCTCTAACAATCTGTTGTTGGTCATAATATCTTATGTGAATCTTTAGAATATGATAGATAATAATAACCGCTAATTTATATACATAAAGGACTCGAAAAATATATACGTAGATACATCTTAGCATCAAGTGATTGTTTAATGATTATGATGACCTATATCGGATTGTTCTACTATGTTGGGTAAACCGATTAAGTATCTCGTTGTTGAAGAACTGGAAAGAATAAGCCCAACCGGAATGCGGTGCAGTACGTAGAAAGGGTTCAAGGGTCGTAATATTTGATCGAAAGGATTGTTCGTATGTTGCGAGGGTAAGAAGTGGGGGTATTGTACGAGATGGAAATACTTAGGTAGATCCCACCGTTGGGGAAAGGGATTAGTGGTTAGTAGCGGGAAGTCTTGATATGATGTGTCATGTGGCAAGGACTGGGTAAGATGAGGAGAAAGTAAGAGCATGTTGTGTGGTTAGTCCAAATGCTTGTAGATGTATTCGTGAACTCTTCTAAGCGATAGAATGGTTAGGCTATGATCAAGAAACTAGTAAGTAGGTTGACTGAGAAGGTGGTTAGTTGTAAGGGTACTCGTAAAATTCTGAGGTATTCGAGAAAGGGGGTAAAGGTGGAGAAGCGAGTGCTTATTTGCAAGTTCTTGCTAGTTGATTTCTTATGTTATGCGGTGGGCGTCGGGTTGACCAATGATGTCTACCAGTATACGTGGTTTTGTACTGATACTACTCTTGCTATGCCTTTTTGGCATAGTCTGGATGCAGGTTGGTGATGATGTTTCATTAGATGAAGACGAAGAAATTCTCCAACAGCTTCTACTTTTCCTTTCGCATAGTGGGAGCTGTGTTTTTTATTTATTATGTCTTGTTTGTACTCTTAGTAGATCTTGTACATGTTTAGACTAGATTCTTGGGAATGTTAATTACTTTATAAGTCTTAACTCTGAGTCATTTTTTTAGAGCTTTTGCTTATAAAAATAGTACATGAAATTCCTTTATTCTTCCGTTTCCTTAATTTTCCACATGATTTTAATTGTTGGGATATGAGGGTTCTCCTACTTGGGTGTTAGTATGTAGGTGCCCGCACGGCCTGGTGGGTTGGGTCGTAACAAACTGGTATCATAGGCCAGGTTATCGGTCTCCCAGTACAAGAGCGAAATGTGGACTAGACTTTCTATATCACATCTCTTAGGCTACAACATTTTTTCTAATTAGGGGTGAACACAGCGTTTAATGCATTGAGTTGTCTTTAGATCTAATCTATGTAGATTTTTGTACACACAAAATATTTTATGTACTGGACAGTTTTTTAATTTAATCTATGTAGACTTTTGTATTTAACAATATTTCGAGTGTTGCATCAAAGTTATGAAGTGCATGCGTGTAGTTTCCTTTTTCAATACATTACAACATTTAAAAATCGAAAGCATCTATAACATATGTTGCTGCTTTATCAAAGTTATTAACATCTTCTTATGTGATGAGGTCAGGTTGCACATATATTTCTTAGAGAAAATATTGACTATAATTATTGGGCCCACTTTGAGATTATTGTAAAGTCAAGGGGCATAAAATTATTGAAATTGCAAATTTTCTTTTCTTAGGGGACTTCCGTTTCACTATTTCAGATTTTTTTAATTTAAAAAATCAAACTTTTCGACTCTTTAACAAATGGGTACAAGAGATTATTTTTTATCTTCTCTTTTATTATATTCTAATTATCCTCACCATGAAATGGAAAAGAATATTAAATTTTTATTAAATGTTAATTGAATATGGATGAGCACGGAGCGGGTAGGTACCTCTCTGAGTTCTCTATATAATAAGCCAATTTGGTTCACCTTTCTTCATCCCAGTCTTTGATTTTTAACTTTCTTTCTACCCACTAAAAAAAATCAATTATTTCCTTCATAAATCGACCCCCTTTTTGATCTTTTCCTCACTCCTCTCTTACAGAAAACATCCTTAATTTTTTAATAAACACATTTTTAAATTCTTAAGGATTATCTTGCCCCTATCCCATTTTTCTGCAAATAACTACATATAATTATATATTTATATATATATATATATATATATATTTGAAATGGAGGATAATGATTGGGATTTAAGCGTTGTAGTAAGAAGTTGTAATATTAATAAGCCTAACGATGTTACAACTCCTCACTCAGGCTTGGTGACTTCTGAAAATGATGATTGGAATACTTTTGACAAAAAATTTGTTGTTGACATGCCTAATTTTAATGACTTATCTGAGATTTTCTCTATAGATTTTTCAGTTGCTCACCAGAAAAAATCAAATGACCAGGTCATAATCACGGACCAAAATTCTAACCAAGAGATGTACTTACATCCCATTCAATCAAATCAATTTAGTCAACAAATCATTCTTCCTTCATTACCAACAACGATAACGTGTGTGCCAACAACGACTACAACACCACAAGAGTCGATTTATCTACAACAACAACTTGAAAAATCAAATGACCAGGTTATAATTATGAATCAAAATGATAATCTGTACTTAGATCTCATTCAACAAACACAATTTAGTCAACAAATCTTTCTTCCTACGTTACCAACAACGATAACGTGTATGCTAACAAAAATTACAACACCACAAGAACTGATCGATCCACAACAACAATTTGAAAAATTAAATGACCAGGTCATAATCATGAACCAAAACAAAAACCAAGAAATGTACTTACATCCCATTCAACCAACTCAATTTAGGCAACAAATTTTTCTTCCTCCATTGCCAACAATGATAACGTGTGTGTCAACAACTACTACAACACCACAACAATCGATAGATCTACAACAACAACTTGTGAAACAGGATCAAGTTTATCCTAATTTCACTATGCCCATGCAGACTCCTCTGATCAAAACTTTTAAAAGGTAACTATTTTCTTTGTTAAATTTTAAGTGTGCGTGTTTAGAGTTTTAATTTTTTTACTTTTAATTTGAAATCAGAAAAAATCAGTCAACAAGAGTTTTCTATGAAGTGTTGCAAGAGGAACTCACAGATGATAAATGGGCATGGCGTAAGTATGGTCAGAAGTCAATCAAAGGTTCTCCATTCCCGAGGTTTGCTCTCTTTATCATTTTTTCATATCGTAGAAAATGTTGTTCAGTTCTCAATTTTCGTGAGAAAAAGTAGTAAAAACTATTAATGGTAAATGTAGACAAATGTAATATTTGACCAGTACTAATTATATTTTGTGTATATGATATATCAGGAACTACTTTAAATGTAGTACATTAGGATCCTGCAAAGCTACAAAATAATTGAGAAAAGCCCAAAGAATGAGAACTATTTTTTGGTGTCCTATTCTAATGAACACAATCATGATCCTCCTACATATCGTAGATCTCTTGCTTTATACAACAATAGTTCCAAACGCAAATTTCCAAAAGGTATAAATATTGTGCCCAAAGTGTTAAACTTGAATGCATCATTATCCTCGTCCAAGCGTGCTAAGCATTTCAAAGTTGACATCTCTTCAATTAGTCCAACTGCACCTACACTTGAAATTGAGAGAAATAATGAAATGGTTGATGTTGTGGTGGAGAACAAAGACAATATTGAAGAGGAGGAGAACACGCATGACAATATTTTCATGGATTTTGAAGAACTCCAAGAATTACTACTTCCATCTTATGGGGATGAAATGGACAAGAGAAATTAATCTTTTTTCCCCCTCTCCATCAACTCTACTATGAGCACCGTTTGTCTTCTAGTCATGTTTCTTTTTTAGTTACAAGTGGGGTCAAAGGAAAATTTTAGATTTATAGTTTGTTATGTTTAACCATGTCATAGAAAATGATGCTTCTCTAGATAGCTAGATATGAATTATTTTCAGTTTCGTTATCTTTTGTTGTTTTTTAATATGAAAAATTGGCCCCTCTTGTAAGTTGTTCTTGTATTTTCTCAAATAGTTCTTTCTTTTAAGAAAAGTCACCAGCCTCAAACTCTCAATTTATACATTAAATTGTACAAAGTATTAGAATATCACAATTCAATTTTAGAAGATATATATATATATATATATATATATATATATATATATTGTGTAGATGAAATCAAGAGTGATCTTGATAATTATCAAAGACGTTATAATTTTATTTTTTTTAAAAACAAGAGGAGAAAAAGAAGAATCTGGAACTAAATCACATCGGAATAAGTAATTTATTCTACTCTGTTAAATTATTTTTTGATGGTATAAATTATTTCTCTATATCATCAATGGTTTATAAATATCTCAACAAATCATTTTGATTTTCTTTATTCCTGATTTTTTTTAATTTTGCTAAAGGATACTTTTATAGTCATATTTATCTTTGAACAAGAAACGTGTCAAATATATAATTATAATAAGTATAGGGATTTACGAAATCCTTGTGGTCTTTAATGTTGTTAGGAGTAGCATTGAATGCAATCTCTACTTATAAACTGTTACAAACCAATTAATTATTAATATAAAAAATTTGCATAATTAATGAAGTAATACATTATTTCAATATTGAACATTCTACTACTCTAGTGCATTTTTACTTGTCATATTTATTTTTCACCCCTTAAAAAAATTAATTAAAAGAGTTATTTGACTAAATTATTCTTATATAATCTTGACTTTAATTTAATACTATCTCTTCTTGCATCACATTAATCTCTCTATTAATTATTCAAAATACTAAACTTCTCTTATCTAAATTATTAGTTGTCGAGAGGTTTCCTAATATGGAGGACTTGCGTTCTATCATGATAATTTGGGAGGTTTCAGTGCTTAGATTTGCTCTTCAACAAGCTAGGGTTCAATTAATTCCTCTATATTTTCCAATTTGCATCTAGCTCTAATGTTTTCCAATTTGTATCTACCATTTTAAGGACCTAGTCTAGACAGGTACAAGAGTTGCTAATAAAGTACGAATAGAAAATATGATAAATAACGAAAAATACTTATACAACTTCTACTTGTGAACATAATAAATGGTAGTTGATGATAAGTAATTGTCATCTCACGCTTCAAGCAACCTTAAACAAACTTATACCAACAAAAGGTGTAACAAGAATAGTATCAGTACACCACACACACTAAGTAGGCATCATGGGCTGGCCTGAATTAGTTTCAAATAAATCATCACAAAATCAACATAAACAGTAATACATTATGCCAACATATATTATAACACAAGCAATATCTCTCCATATCTCTTCTTACCTTAATCACAATTTTCATTGTCGATGCCTTAGCATATCCCCTAACCTTCAACATTAATCTCACATAGATATAACTTATCCAAAAGTCAATACGATAATATTCTTTCACCAGAAATCACCTTTGCTTTTAAACTCGAATACAACTTAAATAGAAGAGCACAAATTAATATGAGATGATGCACTACAAATTCACTAGTGGAGAGAATTTTGATAGAATCGAAATAATCGAGATTTTAATTTTTGTGATTGATTAGATTTTTCTATCACGGTAGTTCCTCGATATTATAATTTTTCCATAACAATAAGTTTCATTTTAGGAAAATATCCAATTTATATAGAAATATTGAAACATCTGTCATTGTAGTTTGTACGTTCCAAATTGATGTTACTAATAGTAATGGACTAGCAAAGCAATTTTGATGATTTAGTTGAAAATTTCTCAACAATAGAAGAAGTGAAATTTATTTATTTCTTTATTTACAAGGTATCTATTTATTAATTTCTTGCATTTAAGAAAAAAAAACTCATGCCCATTAATTATGTTGGTATATAGGCATGCATTTATTTTAAACTGAATTCTTTTTTACTTATTTGTAGTTTCTGATCCATAGTGTGACAATTTAAATTTTATGTTGCTTCTTTGTATCTCTTCAATGATTTACTTTGATGATCCTATATAAACAGATGGTGGTTTAATTTAGAGGATCAAAAGAAAGGCAAAACAAAATGATTACTTTTTTATTTGATAATCATATGAAGTATAAGTTTATATGATTGATCAATGTGGATCTATCCTATACTATTTTTTTATAGTACTTAAATTTTTTTACTAGATATCATCAGTCAATCCGTAGGGTAAAGATAATCTTGTTTACATTAAAATGAATTAGTAATGTAATATGCATGTGATGCATGACCCTTGTGGTCTAAGTGTCGTTGGTTGAAGGTGTGTTGTGAAATTGGGGTATTGAAATTATTAAATTTGCTCACTGGTTTCGTGCAAGCCGCTAAGGCGGGATTTTCCCGCCAGGGCGGGGCCGTTGTAGCGGGGTGAGTACCGTTGTGGCAGGACAGACGCTACTTAAGTTGGAAATAAATTCCAAAAAACGTTTTATTCTGCACTTTTTGACTTTGAGAGCTACGAGACGACCCTAGGTGTTTTCTTGACCATTTTTCACCATGCTTGAGGCTAAAGGTAAGGTTTTAATTCCCCAAATCCATTTTTCGATCCGTAGAATGTAACCTAATGGGTAATTATCGATGGGGGAGGGTTTTGATCTGGAATTTATGGTGGAAAAAGCCCTAATTTGGATATTTGGATCATGGGTTTGATCTAGGGCTGTCAGGGTTGTTGGTAATTCGGGTAATTAGACATTGTGTATTGATATCCGTGTTACATTAATTATTTGTAGACCAAAAACAAGCGGAAAGGATCCGAAAAGGGAAGAATCAAGTTTCTTAGGGGATCCAAGTTTTGTTTGAGGTATGTGATGGTTGTGATTTCATGTTGTGTGATGTATGTTTGTTCTTGAATCATTATAATGCATGTATGTATGAAGATGTTGCATTATTGATCACACTAATTGTAAATGAGGATAGATGAAATATGAATGTCATTAATCATGACTTGATTGTATAATTTTGAGAATGTACTTTGTGATTGTGATTGTGGCTTGTTGAATGGATCGGTGTTGCATTCCGACACACTAACTTGGATCGGTTGCCACATTCCGGCATAAATATGGGATCGGTTGCCACGTTCCGGCATAAACATTGGATCGGGTAACATGTACCGGTACGCTAACAGTTTGGGTGTGGGTTCCATGAGAGTACCATTGACTTGACATAACTGTGTAATTGAGAATTGTGAACTTGATTGTTATTTGTAAATGTTATTGATATTGTATATGTTCGGTGTATGCATGTTATTATTATGTTGTATTGACTTATGTATGTTGCACTTAGTGGGATAGCCGTGTGGTCCTACCAGTACACTGTGGTTGTGTACTGATACTGCACTTGCTCTTTCTTTGTTGAGTACAAGGCATCTTCCGGCGGCTATTGACGGACCTCGCTTAGAAGATCATTGATCGTTTCGAATTCAAGGGTGAGCCAGTTCTTTCGGGCTGTCATGAGTTCTCTTTATGTTTATGTCCACATTTTCGGACTTAGACTAGTTCCTTAGATTTCTTATGTTTAGTATGGGGTTGTACCCCTTCTTGTTTAGATTTATGGTTCTTGTTAGAGTTTTGGTACATTGACTTTCAGGTTCTAGGTATTACTTTCGGATTTGTTTTGGTTGTTAAACTTTTGTTTGGAGTTTATGGGAACTCCCTATTTCTTTCCTTAGCATTTAAACCTGCTTCAGTAACTTTCAATGTCTTAGTTTTGATTAAGTTGTGTAGTTCTTTAGTTAGCTAATTAGTATTAATGGTTCTCCCACCGGAGGGTTAGTGTGGGTGCCAGTCACGACGATCTGGATCGTGACATTAAAAAAGTAATAGTTCTTTTTAATACTGCTCAATTCAAAAAAAAAAATCTAATTAATAGGGGTAACTAGTCATTACACCTTATATTATTGTTTGAAGAAAATGATAATTTTCAAATCTCTTGAGTAAAAATAAAGATCTCGTACGTATAAAAATGAAAATCTCTAGTAAAAGAACATAAAACTAAAAATATGTTGTAAAAGACTGCAAAATCAAATCTCATGTTAAAATGGAAAGGAGTGTGAAATTTTTTTGTGTGTGTAATCTATGCATATATACTCCCTCTGGCCTCTGTCCAACAATAGTTGTTCATTATTGACTTGGCACACCCTTTAAGAAACTATAAATAGAAAGGTAATTTTATTATATCACCCTTTGAATATACTAAATACAATGTCTTAAAAAATAGGGATAAGGGTATGAAAAATACTCCAACTTTGGCCGAAATTGTTGTTATGATACCAAACTTTGAAAAGGACCTTTTACCCCCCCTGCACTATTTAATAGTGTATTTTAAAGGTATATATGTGCCCACGTGGACACATTATTAATTAAAATGACGTAATATTTATGATGTCCATGTAGACACATATATATCTTTAAAATACACTATTAAATAGTACAAGGGGTAAAAGGTACTATTAAATAGTATAGGGGGGTAAAAAGTCATTTTCAAAGTTTGGTATCGTAACAGCAATTTCGGCCAAAATTGGAGTATTTTTCAGACCCTTATCCCTAAAAAATATAATAGGGAAATGACTATAATTAATGATAAGGGTAAATTAGAAATTAAGTGAAATTATCCATGAATTTCATAAAATGGACAAGTATTATTAGACAACTATTTTTACTATAGTAGACAAGTATTATTGGACGGGGGAGTATTACTTAACTTTATTTTAATTTCTCCAACTTTCCAACGTTTTCATGGTAAATATATTTTAATTTGTTTTTTCCTCCTGTGGTTAACTAAGGCAAT